AATATAAATTATATAATAACAACAATACAAAAGTAGAAAAGATATAAAAAGTATAAAAGGTACTAAATGTATAAAAGGTACAAAAGGTATGAAAGGTATGAAAAGTATGAAAGGTATGAAAGGTACAAAAGGTACAAAAGGTATGGAAGGTATGAAAGGTATGAAAGGTATGAAAGGTACAAAAGGTATGAAAGGTATGAAAAGTATGAAAGATATGAAAGGTATAAAAGATATATTTCGTCTATTATCTAATTGCCGGCTATCCGATAGTTCGTTTAACATGTGTTGTAGCTCGTTACGATCGTCATAATCTTCCGGATCTTTTGAGAACATAATTTTTAATATGTTCCTAGGCGTTTACACGTTCTATAACACTATTATAATTATTTTAATTTAATATAATGATTATGATAATATTTGTTAACTTTAACTCTAATAAAACTTCTATACTTGAATTTTAATCTGATATTAAAAACACTATACAATAATCAAGTATAAAAAGCTTGCCATCTTTGCTATTACTCACCTCTTAAGTTGGCAAGCTACTAAAACCTTGCCATGGCAGGCAATCTTTTGAGTGGCCTTGCCAACCACCCTACCTAGGAGGCTTACTTCGAATAATTGGTTGGGGTGGTAGTTGATATCATTTAACCTAAAGGAGGATTACCATCACATGTTGATAAATGTCAAAGCTCAAAGGCTTTTGAGTTTTATAGTAAAAGAGATTTGGTACCAATACAGAGTTCTACCCTTCAGGCTAAGCCAGGCCTTGTAGATATTTTTAAAGATTATGAGAGCCTTAATTGGAAAGTGGTATTCCCAAAGAATTTTCTGCAGATGCTATTTGGACAATATGTAGGTGCCTACCCATCGAAGGAGAAATAAGAAAAGGAATTGTGAAGGTCAATTTGGAAGAATGTAGTTGGACCAGAGCTGTGGAAAAAGGAAACTGAAATCCAACACAAATATTGAAGTTTTGCAGAATGATTGTAAATATAAAAAAGAGTTTTATTGTAGTACCAGAAGAGAAAATAGTGTCAACTATAGCGAAACTGGAAGCTTTATTAAAGGTACCAATAGTAATGGCAAGAGATCTGGCTTTGGTAGCAGACAAGATAATAAGTTTGTTCAGTGCATTGCTCCCAGTTTAAGCAAAATGTATAGAGTTTTACAAACTTATAGATGCACAGAACCATTACACATAGCAATAGAACGATGAAGTCCAGTTATCAGCACAAGCAGTCGAGAACATTGGCTAGTTGATAAAAAATCTAAAAAAGTAATATGGCCAGCTGGCTTGGAAGCCCTCCTAAATAAATCTAGTTTATATAGACACCTCAATTACGAGTTGGTGCAGTATTTACTGTGAACACAAGGCCTTAAGAAGTTGGTTGAACAAGCATATAGCAAGAGTCATTGTGTAGTTAGAAGCTTTGGCAGTACTGAGAATTTTGCAGTCATTCAAGAACCTTTTGAAAGAGACTTGGGTGACTCTGTTTATCGACAACAGGGTAGCTCTGAGAACAATAATAAAAGGAGTCCCGGAGGAGTGGCAAAAGGACATTATGAGGCAAATTTGGGAGGTGTGTGTAGAAAGTGATATGGCAATTTTCAGTACTTAATAGGTACTATTCAAGATAAACCCAGCAGATTTCTTTACAAGAGTGGCCGATCTGAGAACTGGGAATTAAGTCTGGCAGTTGTGGACTAGTTGGAGTTTGTTTGGAGAAAGTTTGAAATAAACAGGTTCGCGAACCACCTGAATATAAAAACATAAAGATTCAACAGCCTATATTTCTGCCCAGGGTCTAAGGCAGTAGACTGTTTCACTTAGGATTGGGCTGAGGTAAGAAATTACATGTGCTCCATTTAGACAAATTCACAGGGCACTGTGCTATGCAAAAAAATATGAGGCATAGATAGTTATAATAGTACTGTTGTAGGTCTCAGTCCCGTGGTGGTCTTTGATAGTAAATTCGCCCAGAGATGAAATTGACCTTCCCCCAGTAGATCAAATTGTGATGCTAGAGCCTTCTGGGAACTTGGAGCCTTGCATAAACAGCCAATGGTGTCTAAAGGCAGTGTTATTGAATTGGTCCAAGGGCTGCTTGATAGAGTGGAGCTTTTGATAGATAGTTTAATTAGTTTAGTATATAAGAAACGACTTGAAAAAGCACAAGGTGTTTTTGAAAATTTTGTGGCTTGGGCAGGTTTTCTACCATACCCTGCATCAAGGAAGCTGTTAGTGGCTTTTTTTGCTTGGTTGGAGGTTTTAGGAAGAATAACAGAAATGACAATTTGTCTAGCTGTGGTGGCTAAAAAATACAAGTTTAGGAACTTTGAGAACTCAATAAAAGAGGCTTGGTTCATTTAATAGTGTAAGATGTCAAAAGAGTCGCAGCTCAAATAAGAAATATCAAGTCTAATTGGCCAAGAAACCTGCTGCCAGTTGCAGTAGTTAGATGGTATTTGGAGTATTCACTACCAGAAGTGAATATCAAATTTTGGGCTTGGGACTTGGCCTTAGTAGCTTTTAGTTTGAGATTAATACAAAGACCAAGTAAGTTGTGTAATTTAAAAAGGTCTGATGTTTTAGAAAGAGATAGGAAGTTGTAGTTTAGAATTGCGAAATCAAAAACTGATCAATTAGGGAAGGGCAAGTTCATTCTGTTAGAAAAGACAAGTAAGTTGTACCCAGTAAGACTTTTAAGTATGCATTTAAGAGATAAACTCTTTCCTGTTCATCACTTATACAAAAATTTATCTAAATCTGCATAACTAAAAAAATTTATTTTTACAATAATTTATTAAGATAACTTATTTCCTTGCTTTAATAAAAGTTATTCTCTATTTAAAATTACATATAGTGTTAAAGTTTTAACTAAACCGGCCCAAAACGTATTAAGCAACGGCCTTTCAGGCCAAATAGGCTTCTTTTGCCGTTTACGCCAAAACTAGATTCTTAACCTCTGTTCAAACCTAGAACAAGTTTGTTCTACACACTCCCCTCCTCAAAACAAGCTATAACAGACATCCATAGCTTCAATATTGACTGAGTTACAAGTAAAACAACTTCTATTCCATTTGCTTCTTCTTATTTCTCTTTTACCTTGGGGAACTCTTTTCCCAAACACTTAGAGACGTTTTCTATGCAACCCACATTGCCCCCAATCGTGCTACCCACGCCCTACACACTTCTAAAATTATTGGTGTTTGTTAAATTACACTAAAATTACTTAATTATTAACTAATATCACAAAATTTTAATATCTGCCTTTTTTAGTACTTCTTATTCATACAATAAGATTTCCTTTTTTGACTTGTGCAACACGTGATATCACGTGACTTTTGTGTAATATAAAATTGGAAAATTCTATTTTTAGGTCACGTGACCTTGTGTAACCTAAAAATAACCTCCTTTATATCCTACACCTGGAAAACAAATTCTAATACAACTCCTACTTTATTTTAATACCCTTTTTTCAACTTAGAAAATTTTCTTCAAAAATCAAATTTATAATACAAATTTTTAAGAAAATTTTATTCTTTTTTACTTATTTAAATCTACTAAAATGCCTACTCCAATTACACAAGACTTTGATACCATAGATCTTGACTACTTTTTTAGCTATCATCCTACAAGCTTTAGTATCGTGTTTTACGAAGATGTACCAAAAGAAGACAGTATTAGACCAACTCTACCAAATCAAAAGCCTTCATCTTGTGCCCCCAAATCTACTCATACTAACTCTGCTGTATACTTCTTCCATGCTTCAAGATCAATAGCTATTACCCAATGTCTTTGTCACAGCTTTCATACCCAATTTATTTTCAAAAATAACAGTATCTACCAACTCGCAACTAATCTCTCTCAAGTACCTACTGGCAAAAATTCACATAAAGGAAACAATCCCAAAACAGAGAATTTTATTGACCAACTTACAAAATCTCCAGACAGAGTCCCACCCTCTCCTACATATAAATCTTGCCAATATACCTGCCCTAAATGCCTTAAAGTTATTGCTTGCCGTTTCTATAGCAACAAATATCACCCATGTGAACTCTATATTTTAGTAAACAAAGAGGTTTATCATAACAGCTATGCCACTACTGCATCCTCTTCTTTCACTACCTCTTCAATCTCAACTACTACCACTTCACTCGAATCTGCCAGAAAAGATTTAACTCCTACTTTCAAAAGCTTACAAGATACTTCTTCTAACCAAGCCTCTAATTCATCTACTTTTAACACCACTTCTTCAAAACCACCTTTATCTCTTCTTCCCAAACACACCTATACTAACACTAGTGAATCTCACCAACTCCCACATACCCAACTACCTCTGGAATCCTCCTATTCAAGTAAAGGAAAACTAACACATAATCCTCTCTTCTCTTCTTTAAAACCACTTACTCCTACCGATGACACACACACTTCCTCCACTCAAACTGTAATCCGCTTTATGGAAATCAATAATGAAATTTCTGCTACCAACAAAGCTAATACTATCTTGATTAGTGAATCCAACAATACTACCTCTGCTACTAACTCCCAAACCACTGCACCTAACATGGAAATTGATAACAATTTTTCTCAAACAACTCAGATGAATATACCCTCAAGAACTGAACCTCTCTCCCAAAATCCAAAAACTAAACCCAATAAACCTACTACTCAGACAACATACTCTACTATTGTATAGCAAAACCAATTCCAAACTAATACTGGTACTTCTTCTTCTACTAACAAATCTACTCCCAAACAACCCAAACCTATCCCAACCTTTGACTGGTCTGCTCATTTTCCAATAACTAAAAAAATAGAACCTAATAACAAACTCCAAACCTCCTTTTCCTAACAACTTTACGACTTTCTTAAGAAATACCTTCATGACCTCTACCCAGGTACCATTCTTAAAGCAGCAACACGAGACAAACAACAACTTAAAGCTAGCTTCTACCATATTATTCGTTGTATGGCAGGAGAAAGACCAGATTTCCTCATTAACTATATCTATCAAATCAACTCTAACATAAGCAAACAAGCAACTATTCCATTTAGTACAATAGAAGACACTCTTAAAAAAATTATTGCAAAATTTACCTCCATTTTCTTCACTCAACTCAACTACCTAGAAATTTTTGCATCACCTGCAACTATTCTGCTATATAAATCTGAAAATCATCTACAATTTTGCCTTAATCTGGCACGTTTACATTTTTACCTCCATGACAAATACCAAGCAATTGATTACAATAAATTTGCAGAAACACTTATTCCTCAAGTTGTTAGCACTGACAAAGATGGAACTTACCTAACTATTAAATCAGATGACAAATTCAATATCCATTTACTTCTTAACTTACCAGTCACTCTCCTCCTTAAAAACTTTTCCATCTCTTCACTTCAAAATTCTTTAGACCATTTTAACAAATGGTTTGATGAATTCTTCTCTATCTATAACCACCAATTTAAAGATCCACTTAACAAAGAAGAGACTTGTAACATACTAAATCCAAAATCCGAAGAGCCTATATTCTCCAACTTAAACAATATCTTCCTTCTCTACTTGATACTTTTCAAAAACCCACTTGCTATGAAGACCACTATGATGAATGCTTTAAGCACCTTAACTTTCATATTCTAACTTGCAAACATGAAAACTGCAATTTTGTTCAAGAAAACCATAAACATGATACTTCCCAACTCCTTAAACACTTGTTACCAAATCCTATGAAGAATACCCAAAAGAAATGGATACACCTAACTTAGAAATTGACCTCTCAATCTTTGAACTTAACTCTGGAAACGAAGCCACTTTCTCTAAACCAATCCCAACCAAACTCCTTGATAAACTGGCAGATTAAGCTGAACATGATTTCTGCACTAAAAATCATACTGTCTCTTCTACCAAATGTTGTAACAGCTTTTTTTACCAATATCTCCAAACATACCAAAAACAAGCCGCCAAAAACTTACAAATTCACTAACTAACCCAAACAGATGCCATCAACAAAATTACTTTTGAAGTAGTTAGCACTGACTACTTAGCAAGAATTATTACATACTTTGAACAAGCTCATACAAAAGAATCATCCTTCTGTCACCTTACACAATATTATACAAATATTGTCTATCCTGAAGCTGAAAGAATTCTTACTAAGAAATTCAACTTAACCTTCCAAGTTCCTAACCAAATTGAAGATTCATTATTCCTTAATGAATTTTCTTTTCATTAAACATGTGTTTTGCAAACTACATTAATGCAGCCACCACCTCTCTAAAAGATACATCCCTTGTAGTTAGAGAGGAAAATGATGTAAGTGGGCAGGTGGTTAAGCCCATTTACCCAGAAGAGTTAGAATTAAACAACTCTCTAACGTCTAACCTGATTGTTGCTAACTCTTGCGGAACCGTGCGAGCTGGGTATATGGTGACCGATGCAAAAGACAATTCTCTAGTGGTATCATCTTCAACATCTTTAACCTTCTATGATCCACCTACTACACTAAACACCAACAACGATCAACTTTTCGACTCATCAGACTCACTATACGAAGTAATATCAGAAGAAGAATACAATAGTGAAGATTATCATATACCAAACCACTATTCTTATGAAACAATTACTTAAGTAACAGAAACGCTCGAAACTATAGACCTTCATACATGTTACAACAAATTTCTTTTTTATTATAAACTACCTCCACTTCATCATCCACAAACAATTCACACCTTCCTACTTTATATTTTTCAAGAATTTCCCTCATACTATTCATCTCACTATTCTTAACAAGAAAGATGAAGACAATAATTATGATGAAGCACATATCTATATACCTAATGAAATCTGCCCACTTCCAAATTATTTCATCCCTCCTTTTCAAGACTTACTTCGCTGGTTCAGATATATCTCCCTCAAATCTTATACACAAACCATGAATAATAACTCTTTTATACCAATCTCTATTGACGACTCTCTCTTCATTAACTCACCTGCATCTTTACAAACACCTGCTCCCACTCTATACAATACTAACCTCTACATCCCACCAAGTCTTAACACAAACTTATTAAACCCCTCCACACTCTCCTCCCAGACTTGTCCTTCATCACCTATTAACTTACCAATTTCACTAGCTAATGATCGTGACTTGCATCTCACTATAGCCACACACAATGTTAGGGGCTTCAACACCCCTTCCAAAAGACAAATTTGGCAAGATTACTGTATCCACCACAATATCACAATAGCCAGTATTACTGAAACAAAAATCTTACAGAAAACAAAATTATCCTTTTGGGCAAACTCCGACAGCTCTGCTGAAGGGTCTGCTATTATGATACACAGTTTTCTTAAACCTTATATATATAGTTGCCAAACACACCCTGGTGGTGCAATCGCACTTGACCTTTTTTTAAAAACCCTATTAAGCTCCGAATCATATCTGTATATTTCTCTTCTACTGACTCCTCTTGAAGAAATGCTACCCAAAATACTGTCATTAGCTGGATTTTGCAAGCCCAACAGCAAAACATTCACCCTATTGTTCTTGGTAACTTTAATATATATGACAATATATTCAGCTCCTCTGCCAGATTTAAACTTATTAACTTTCTACACTGTTCAAACATGTTTGATATCGGCTCTCACTCAAACAACATCTCACATACCTAGTCCAACAATACAAGCTTCAGCAGAATTGACTACATTTGGACTAACTCATTCAATATTCAATTTCTCCTTGCTTACAATCTTGATAATAGTAATACAAATACACTCAGTGACCACCTTATACTCTCTACTACCTGGACTTTTTCAAACACATATAGCAAACCACCTTGTTTACATACCAATATTTGTCGCCGAATTTTTAACTACAAATCAACATCTTCTGATCACTGGCTAGAGTTCTCTGACTTTGCCACTGAACTTTTTCAACAACATCATATTCCTACCTCTACCGATTCTACCATTAGCATTAATAGCATCTGGCACAAGATCCAGCTCTGTATTATACAGGCTGCAATTAAAAAGGTTTCCAACAAAGTCACACACAAATGTAGTTATAACCATAAATATAGCCCACACTGTACTGCACTCTATACAGGACTTAAAAAACTCAGCCACCTTATCAAAACAATTCGCTCTAATACCGACCAGTCAGATATGTATCTGCAATACATTCATTTAGATATTCTATTAATTACAAAGTGCAATCTTCGGTCACCTTTAATATTGGATCTTGCCTATATCCAAGTATGGCTTGAAGAAGCTTATACTGTTTGGAAACAGGTATACCATGCATATCACCTAGAATATTCACTCCATCTCAGACAACAAATTAACCAAGCTTCAGAGAAAAGATGTAAAACTCTTGTTTTCAGGCCCACTCATGCAATTAATAGTATACTCGATCGCTACAAGGCTCTCATCCATTTTTCTAATATCAAGCTTCCAAACCAACTTGTCACAAACCCTACAGACATCAAACGACATATACAACAACACTTCAATGATTGGACTGCACATAAACCTATTAACTATCTACTTTTCAACAATATCTGACAACAACATTACTCTCCTTTATCTCACATTAACCCAGACTGGTACAACCCTCTTATTACACCTATTACAATCGAAGAGGTCCTCCAAACTATCGCCAAGCTTCCTAACAACAAGGTCTGTGGCCCTACAGGTATAAGCTATGAAATGTTCAAGCATCTTAGCCACCATTGTATAACTGCATTTGTTGCTCTCTTAAACAGATATCTTTCTGAAAACTACATTCCGAAATAATAGAAACACAGTCAAATCTATCTCATCCCAAAAAGAAACACATTTGATGGAAATCTCAACTTAACTCGCCCTATCAGCCTAATAGAATATACCAGAAAAATATACACTAAAATCCTTACAAACAGATTAAACAATGTCTTCTCTCAACACCCGATTCTCTCTCCTTATAACTATGTTGCTCTTCCAGGCAACAGTACTTCCATTCCTATGCATAATCTCAACAACCTTATTGAAGATTCAAGCTGTAACCACAAAGAAATCTGGCTCTTGTTTCAGGATATGAGTAAGGCCTATGATTCTGTTAACTCTACCCTTCTGCACCATGCTCTTTCATGCCTTGCACTTCCTGCTTCAATTATTAATACAATCTCCAACCTGTTTATTGGTCGCCATAATGATGTCATCACCAACCT